TGAATTAAACATTACAGTCTTTCTCACCTTGATAACATGGTGGGAAGGTTAAATATCATAATACTTTCCTTAGTTTTGTGAGTTCAAGGGGCGGCTTTTCTATGATTGTACATAGAATTCCTTTGTGGTCATACTTAATAATTATGCAATTTGTCTTTCTTCCTTTAACTCAAATGCATCATTCAGTCAAGTTACTTCCTTTTCTTGATAGCTTATTTCACCCTCCCTAGCCTGGACCCTGCTCTTGGGGATTCTCTGGTTTGAGTAGATGTTGTATTACCATGTCTGCCTCTCCATGTTCTCTGGGCTCAGACTTTTGTTTCCTCTTATTCAAGATCTTGAAGTTTGTCAGAGGTCACATCCTCTCATAACTCCGGTGACTTAAATCCATTGAGAAGGAAGCTGAGGGCTCCCACTTAGTATTTTTTGTTCAGCCACCAGTGATTTTATGAGTCCTTGTGTTTTCTTATGACCAGTGATAGTTTGGCAAGGCTGCCACAGAGCCTCCTGGAACTCCGACAGATCTAACAGTCATCTCAGTCAAACTGATCCTCATAGCTGGCCTACAGCTAGTGCTGTACTAAATAATTGTTAGAGCTAGAGGTAATGATTGTCACCTTGAGTTACTGAAGGCAGCTGCCTGAAACTAGTAAGTGATTTTAGAAAAATTTGGGCTCAGCTTTTGTGGTTAGATGGACTCAACAGCAGAATGGGCAGCAGGTATTCCTGCCAACTTGGTAGTCTTTAGATAAGTTATTATTCTGAGCCTCACCTGTTTCACAAGTACAACAAGGTAAGAACAGTTGGCTCACAAAGTTGGATTAAATGCCCATTCTAGATGCATTTGAAGCCTAAACACCTGTTCTTTTTTCCCATTTTAAATATTTTCAGACCCTAGTAATCAAATTAGTGAGGCAAGCCCATTTTGTAAGATGTATAATTCAAGGCAAGGCCATGGTAGCAACTTGGTATCCCCTAGATCAAAGCCTGATTGGTTGTTCAGAGCTTCCTAAGGAGGTGGCCACATACCAGTGTTGGTAGGGGACAATTCCTGCTACTTATCCTGAACTTTGTGCTGGGTTTGCCCTTGAAGATAGCTTCTCCAAGCTGACAATCAGAAGTGACTTGTTTCAAGTCCATCTGTTTGAATGCAGACACTGAAAGCAGGGTTGAGCTGTGATGGGGACAATAATGTGAATGGCATTCCTCCAACATGTTCTGCATCCCTGGGGTGACTCTTCCTGATCATTCACCCCATTAATGCTGATTGGGTTACCAGCCTCCTGCCCCAGTGCACTTTAGTTGTGCAAGGCTGTGGTAACATTAATGAATATGGTTGTGGGGTAGATACACCAGTTTCACCATCTTTTATTGGATACAGAGCCATAAATTCTCTGATGCCCATATGAGTCCTTTTAAATACATACACTCAGGTACATTCGGCAAAGGGCATTTATGGGTAACATGGAGCAAAGTGCTAGGATGGCAATGCCTGGATGGGGCAGAGAAGTGGGGCCAGGGAAGGCCCCCTGGGGGCTGGAGGTACAGGCACCACTTTAGAAACAAAAGTAAAACCAAAAGTTGCTCTCCACCCCTCTGCCTGGTGTGCTTGGGGTGGGGGAAGCTACCTCTCACACAGCTCAGGTCCTTGCAGCCTGGCTGTGTGGGGAAGGCGGGGCCTAGAGGCCAGTTGTGGAGGTCCCCACCAGCAGTGCCCCCTAGAGCCAAGCCTACTGGCACCATCCCAGGCCAAGCCTGAGTCACTTCAGGCCTCTGCCCCTAGGTATAAGACCACTGTGGGGGCAGAGCTTAGGCTGGTGGCCCCAGTCCAAGCCTCCCTGGGGCTGTGCTGTGGTGACAGGAGAGGCTTGGCCTTGTGGTGGGGGCCTGCCTGATTGTCAGGGCAGTCTTGGGACTGGCCAAAGTCCCAAGGAGTTGGGGAGGGAGGCCTGGTATTCTGATCTTCACCCAACCCTAAGCCTTATCCTCAGGCAAGGGCTGCAGATGAACACACTTGTCCAGGAATCGATACATACACACGATACACAGCAATATGTACAGGAAAGCAGGCCTGGAACAAGGCTGGGTGAGAAAGCATGGCCACCAGGGGTCAAGAGAAGTGCCAAGTCCCTGGAGGAGGGAAGTCAACACTCCTCAGGGATTGGCAGGCCAGGATAGATCCCATGGGTGGAAGTTAACTCCTCTGGACACTTCGACCATACCCCACTCACCTCCTGTTTCCACTCCAAATTCACCAGGAACTGGGTCTTTGGCACCAATAGTCACTCTGGGAGGGTCTCCTTCAACTTAGCGCCTTAGAGGGATTGGGGCCTTTGTGGCTCCCCCACCTGTTTCCAAAGGATTCGAGACCAGGGGGATAGGCAGGATCCAAAGGCAAAGGACAGAGCCACATGTTAGAGCAGCAGGCCTGGGGCAGGAGGTGTCTCTTTTTTTTTTTTTTTTGAAGCAATTCCTGAGGGACTGATTCAACTTCTGCCATCAGGGCTAAGAAAACATTAGAGGTCATGCTCTCTGGGTGGTCTTTCCTGGCTAATGAAAAGCAGGGGTCTTGGGCAGCCCACTTTCCCCTGTAGGGGTATGTATTATGCATCTTTACTGTTTGCCAGTGCTGAGGGAAAGCAGCTGGAATAAAGCGTGAAGTACTCAGGCCAAATGTGCCCACCTTCCAGGTGTTGGCCAGGCTATATGTGTTGAAGTGCAAAGGACATTAGATGGCACCTTGGGATCTCTCCATTGACCTGGGGTCCTTGGAGCAGGGCCTGCCTTGGTAAGCAAAATGTCATTATTCCTTTTTTTGCATCCTATAAAGTATGAGATTAAGGGCTCCCTTTTAGGAGGTGAAGGTGGGATGAAACACTTCTGGAAGACAGGCCCTCTTGTTTCTCTCCTTGGCCCCAGCTGAATGGCTGCCATGGAAGTGAATAAATGGAGCACCCAAGCAAGTAGGTTTCCTGTCCAGCAGCATGGCTCATCCCCAGAGGAAATGAATAGCATCAAGGTAGGAGGCAGGAAGCTGCTGGTTCTCAGCRTGCGCAAAGGCCAGGGCATACAAGGCTGCCAGTCCAGGGGTGGGTGTGCAAGGGACACACTGTGTCTTGTCATTTGCATTGACAAGGGCTTGGGCCTGTACCATATGTACTCCTACACAGTTCTTGAACTTGAACTTGGTGGGTTTCCTGGAAACAGACCTGTGAGAAGGCCAACTTTACCGGGCAGGAGAGGGGGCCTGTTCACCCTTCTGCCCCTAGTGCTGGTGGTATGCAGTGCTGTTATGTGAATAGCGCAGTGAAGGAGCCTGTGACTAGCATCAGCACCCTTCCACTGAGCTTACTGCTTATGCCACCTGACTTTTCCCAAGGCTGATGCCAGGTACTCCAGTGAATGCCACTCAGGGAGAAATTGCCTAGAGCCTTGTACTCAGTGATGGAGGCTCTCTGGGGCACAGAAAACCCTTATGTTGGGCAGGCTTAGACAAATCCCTTTGTGCTTTGTCCAGAAGACAGGGAGGGTGGCACTTTGGTCCTCGAGTCATAAGGAGCAAAGGCCACAGGGGTACAGTTGGTATGACAAGGCAGATGTACCCAGGGAAGCAAGGGCCTGAGTAGACCTTGACTTCCCTCCCAGGCCCTTGGAAGAGAGAAAGTTGTGCTGCTCTTTCCTGTATCTCTTAGGGACAGGACTGGGGAGACGGGAGCTAATGGAGGCAGCTGCAGGGACTAGGAGTGGCGTTGTGGTGCTACACACAGCCAAGGCTTTGTGCAGGACTGGACAGAGGGATGCTGACATGACACCCTTGGTAGCCCAGGTCTTCCAAGGGCAGGAACATAGCAGGCCACAGGAGGAAAAGTCAAAGCAATGATGAGAAGCCAGGACATCTGGGGCTGCTGGGAGTACTGCTGAGGCCAGGCATCGGGGTGCAGTTCTAGAGAACTTTTACAAGGTAACCCAGGGCTGGGCTAGATGTTCAAGCCAAGTGGCAGCAGAATTGGGTCCCTGGAAAAGCCTGGGAAATGAGAATCCCAGATCCAGTCAGGACCAACAGCCTAATGGCAAGGCTGAGAACTGACCTTATACAGGAGTGAAGAAAACTCTAAGATGGATTTAGGTCATGTTGGGAAGAACTGTCCAAATAGGTTGGCAGGACCTCCCAGCCTTTGAATCACTGGTAAATCTGAGGGGATAAACTGGGGTGAACTTGGTGCCAGAACCTGATCCTCTGGGGACTGTGCAAGGGCCAGTGAAAACCCCCAGTGGCATTCTGTGGCTTCTAAGCCCTGACGCAGAAGACCCCAGCTGCAGCCTTAGCCTGTGGCTGGTGGAGACTGAGGAAGGGGCAAGTCTATTAGGATGCTCTACCTCTTCCTTGGCCCTAGGTCTGTCCTTGCCAAGCCACATCCTCAAGCAAGCTAATTAGACAGGAAGCAAAGTCAACCACCCTCCTCTAGGACCCAGCACAGTGGGCAGCCCAGTGCCCCACTCCCAGACAGCCTAGATAGCATAGGGGACCCAAAGGCCATCAGATTCCTGCCCAAGCACCTGGATTAAAAGGAAATTCCTTCTCACTATAGGCAGGCCTCCCAGGGCTGGCACCTTCACCCTCCCTTCGATTTCTTGAGAGTGATTGGTAGGTATAGAAACATGCACCTTTTAGCTCTGAGTTTCACTCTGGAGTGTGTGTGTCTGGGTAGGGAGCCTTTCTTACAGGAAAAAGTAAGTTTTCTCCACCTCGAAGCCACCCCCATCCCCTTTTGTGCCCACCTTGGGAGGAGTGGTCTCATTCTTGGGAAAAGTTCTAGGTAACTTTTTTCCTTCCAATCCTGCCACTAGTTTTTTAATGACTGTACCTAGGTCCCTAGACCTGCCTGGGTTTTCCCTGGAGAGTGTAGACCCAGGGCCCAGACAAGTTGTGAGAATGGGTGGAAGGAACAGGTAGGAGAGAAGAGCCCTCCCTGCCAAGTCTGAGCTGCCTTGTGGGGTCCCCTGGAGACTGGGGCCTCAGGAAAGACAGGCCTGCCTGAGCAGCTGAGGAGCCACTGGTAGTTATTGCAGATCCTTCGAGTGAAGACACCAGTGCTGGTGGTGACAGCTCCTCGCTGGCTGTGCCAGAAGTCTGCTCCAGCGGGGATAGGGTGGGGGTCAGAGGGCAGCTTCTGTCCAAGCCCCTGCCTTGGGTCAGACCTGTTGCTCTGCTGTTCCAGTAGGACAGGATACTCAACCCCTCCCTGGAAGCTGGGATAACACTAGGCCTCCAAAGGTCTAGTCCAAACCAGGATCCCTCTGGAGGTACAAATAATGCCTTGGTGTGGGGCTGGCAGGTGCCCTGCCACCCCCTGCCCCCCGGGTTAGCAGCCGCCTTCCACCTTGATGTGCAGGATCTTAGAGAAGCCAGGCCTTCGTCGCAGGGCCTGTGAACCAAGCCCTGAGTTAGTTCTCTTGCAAAGCTGGTGGGGTCCTCCCTCCACACTCACCCAGGCCACCAGCCCCAGCCTAGGAATGTCACTTGGGGATCTTGGTTGGCCTCAGAGCCAACCTCTCACCTGGAGTTTTGTCACCATATCCTCAAATAGCTTCTGAGCCTCAGGGCTGCTGGGCTCCTTGAAATAATCAGCAATTCCAATTTGGACCACAATGGACTTGAGGTTCCGACAGATGCCTGGGGAAAGGTGGATAAGGAGGCCCCATGTTTGGCCTGCACAGTGGGGCTACCACCTCTCATTTCACTGATTAATGACATCAGATACCCCTTGAGGAACCATCATGTGGCAGCCACAGAAAACAAAAGTAGAGYAGGCCTACGATGGCCTGGGATGCACAACTGGACCAGGGAGAAGGTGGATGAAGGCACTCTGGGAAGACAAGTGGACAACAGCCAACTGCTCAGCAGTTCTAGCAAATTCCCTGGCAGAGGGGACAGTTTTATTTACCCTGGTCTGTACACTTGGAGGTGATTATGAGGAACAGAGTGGCTGAGAGGAAGCTTGAGCATGAGGGTGGAGGAGATGGGGACAAACCAGGCAGGCTGCACAGGGTTTACAGGATGGAATGTGGCTGCTCACTAAGGTCAAGGGCTGAGGAGCCTGGAGAGTATGAATTTGAGGCTGAGCAGTCTGTCCTGATGGTGTATCCAGGGTGTGGACATGGGGCTGAAGGGGAGGGGAGAGGAGGGTCCTGGAGGTGATAAGGTAAAGGAACCTTCAATCTGGGAACAGGGTCTTCCCAAGGGCCACAAAGTCCTGGATGATGGTCTCATTTGGGGGAAGCAGCCCAAGCTGGGTACCCTTGTCCTCAGTGAAGGCAGAGAAGTGACAGAGTAGAGAGTGGGTAGTATTAGGTGAAGGGCCAGAGGAGGCCTAAGAACTGTCCTAGGGAGCTTACACACATTACTGCCCACCTATTCTAAGAAAGTCAGTGGATGAGAATGTAAAACTCAGAGGGGTAGAGTAATTTGCATGAATTCACAGCTAAATGAGCAGTAGACCCAGAGCTGAAACCCAGATCAGTCTAGCTCCAGAAACTGCACTTTTAATCTGTCTGCTCTCCTGCCTCAGCCCTGGTGAAGACTTACACAGGGACAATTTCTGCATGGCTTCTGGCTCCAATGAGACTATGCCAAAGCACAAYAGATATCTTTGGAACTGGACTATTAGGAGTGGATACTGGCAGGCTTGGAATGCCCACTGGCCTAAGAAGACACTGCTGGCAAAGCCAAGACCAGATATTGCTGTCTGCCCCCCACCCCCATGCTGGTGTTTGCTGATTAGAGCATCAGGGAATTGTTTATGCTACCTGCTGACAGGCCATGGTGACAGGTGAAAGCCATATCCTGCCCTGCATTCCCCCATTACTCACTGTTGAAATGCAGTAGGGCCTTAGGAGTGACAGGGGTRGCCGTGAGTACCAGCATCTCTAGTCCCTTCAGGCCTTCCCGGCAGACCTCAGCTGCCACCTCCTGGGTGATCTCTGACACATGGTCCAGCTCCAGGACCTGCAGCCGCATGCAGTTTCTTGCTAGGAAGAGGAAGAAGGCAAGCCCTGCTGACAAACTCCCTAGGTCACTTCTTGCCCAACACCCTTGGTCCCCTGCCACCACCCAAGATGCAGCCCCAATCCCCTGTAGAATTTTGCAGGATATTATTGCACCCTTACCAGCTTCTCACCTCTCCCCACCCCAGTCCCAAGGGACTCACCAAGTGATGCCAGGCCCTGCACCCCACAGCCGGCGCCCCCAACCCCCAGAGCCCGGAGGTGGGGCCAACAGCGACCGATCATCTGCAGGCAGCGGTTACTGAAGCGCGTGGGCTGCTGGCTGGAGAATGGGGAGGGGGCAGTCAGGGAAGCCTTTGGATGCCTGATGCCCCAAGCGAGTATATTCCTCTTGGGGGATCCCTCCCTGCCTCAGGCAAGTACCCCGACAACAACCCAGCTGGCCAAGTCAGAACACTGGCATCATCCCTGACTCGCCCCTCTCACCTCTTGCCATGTTCTGCAGTTTCAGATTCCTGAGTAACTCCTGTACCATAGTTTARACCACCATTGGATTCAGCTAGATTACTACCAGTCTCCCTGCCAATCCATGCTCCACAATGCAGACAGTGCACCATTCATTCCTACAGCCACTCACTGTGTCATTCAGCAGATGGTTATCAAGTGTCTGCTACAGCCGAGAACAGGCCCTGGAGGTGCAGTGGTGACAATGCACACATGGTCCCTGCCCTCAAAGCATGGGCAGTCTATTTTACAGAACTTTGGCAGTCTGATCTCAGTACTTTACTTAAAACCTAAAATTCTCCAATAGTCTCCCAGTACTTTCTAGATAAAATGCAAAAACCTAAACCCCTTAACATGGCTCTGCCTGCCCTCTCCCAACCTGCTTGTCCACACCAGATTTGCCATTTCCCTGAACATCAGACTTGCCATCTCTCAACATTCACCTAAGCAACAGACATCTCTTTGGTATCTGCTACGCACTTGGTACCAGGGATACAGAAATGGACATTCACAGACTCTGCCCTGAGAACTACAAGTCTGATGTAGGAGACTGAAACAGAAATAATTGCAAAACCGGTAACAGCAGATGTCAGGACAAGATGCAATGGGAATCAAAGCAGGAGCACAATGACTGCTTCCACCAAGGTGTTAGGGAAGGTACACTGGATGGGCTGGGAGGGGCCAGCACATGGAGAAGGATTGGAGGGCAAGGAACAGGGAGGGTTAGAACTATAGGAACTATAGGTAGAGTGAGGGATGATTTCACACCCTGAATTCTCCAACGATCAGCTCTTATATGTTACATACTGACCCAGAATTGCCTGTCGTGTGTCAAACAAAACCCAGCTACTTTTAGCTGTGTTTACTGAACACTTACTGTGGGGCCCACAGGCTCTGTGGTATAATCTCACTGATGCCAGTAACAGCTCTAATAAGGTCAGTAGATTCCTAATATCACCTTCACTTTGCAAGTTGAGAAACTAACATGCCGTTAGGTTGCTCACAATGGCACTGCCACTAAGCCAAGACATGACTTCTAGGTCTAATTTTAAAGCTCTATTCTTAATGCCTCATTGTGCAGATTAATGTGTGTGAACCTGTCTCCTCAAGAGCTTATGGAGTGGGCTCAAATCTGTTCAGTCCTCAGCCCCAGACCAGATCCAACCCTTTCCCTTCCCCACCCACCCAGCCTGAGCTCACCAGGGGTGAAGAGGCGCCACCTGGAGGGAGACAATCTCTCTGCAGCCTGCACCTAGAGCCCAAATAACTTCGTGGCCCACTGGGTCTGTGGCACTCCTGTTGAAAAGACAAGGCTGGAGTGGCTCATCCTGGCGGTTTCTGCCCCTGTCAATCCTTCCTTCCCTTAGGTCACAGAGTTCTTGGGTGCCTTTGTATGAGGACCTGRGGAAAGGCCATGCAGTGTCTAGGGATCCTTGGGGTCCCAGGCCAATAGGGTATAGGCCTTGCTTCTGGTAAAAGGAACCCACCTGTAGGTGACAGCCTGCAGGGCACGACAGTAGCAGCTGGCCAGCCAGAGTGAACGGTCGGTGAGGATGTTGGGACAGTGGGAGATGCGCAGGATCAGCAGGTTCCCCCCGGCTGCCTTCAGCAGGGACTCCAGCCCTGCTTCAAGGCAGCCCCTGGGGATGACCAAGAGGTCACCTGCCTGTGGTCACCTCCTCCTCTGGAAAGCATCCCCACTTCATTCCAAGTCTGGCCCAGGAGCACCCGCCCACCCACCGCAGCCTCACCGGGTGCTCCGGGCGTACTCCTCCTTGCTCTCCTTCTTCCCCCGCTGTCGGGGCTTCAGGTTCTGCAGGGTCAGCGAGTGGGCCTGCGTGCACCACTGAGCCAGCATTGCCAGAAACTGCGTAGAGAGGGAGGGTACATGGAGAACAGGGGGTCTGCACTTGGCTGGCTGGAGAAAAGCCAGCCCCAGAAGAGGAGGCTCTGTGAGAGGATTTGGGGGAGCCAGGCTGAAGCCAGGGCTGCAAGGACCAGATTCTGCCAGGGGGAAAGGTGGGTTCCCAGCTGGGCAGAGGTAGGCACCTTGGAACACACTCTCGCATTCTCTAGCAGCACCCTTGTCCAGACAGCAGGGTGACGGGCCACGAAGCGCCAGTCCCGGCAGACCTCTGCAGCATGCAGCAGCGTGCGTGTGTCCAGGTAGGTGAAGATGCAGAACAAGGCAGCTCGCATCTTAAGGATCTCTGGGCTGATGACCTCATTGGAGCGTGAGGGGCTACCCCGCTCCCCTCGCCGGCCTCGTCCACTGCCTCCCTCGGGGCGGGCTGCAAACACAAGGAAGCAAAGGTGACAATAGAAGGTCAAAGGCCAGGGCAAGGATGTGGGTGAGGAGCTGGGGCAGGGTAGGAGCTGCAGGAGGAATGGGCATAAGACCCATGCTGGGGGAACCAGTGGCTTGGGAGGAAGGCCAATCTGCTTTCCCCTCCATTATGGTACAGCCACCCCTAATTTTACATATTAGCAAAGGTATTCCTTCCTCATATAAACTTTCTTTTTTAAGAGTCAACACTGGGTTGGGGTTGTGGCTCAGTGGTAGAGCACTCGCTTAGCACATGGGAGGCCCTGGGTTCGATCTTCAGCACCACTTAAAAAATAAATAAGCAAAGGTATTGTATCCAACTAAAAAATAAATATTTTTTTAAAAAGTCAACCCTGACCCTAACTCCTACCCTCCTGATGCCTCTGCATATGTGTGTGGCCTGTGTGCAGATGGGGCTCCCCACTGCACCAGGAGCTCCAGAGCCTGGAGTCAACACTCTCCTCTACATGTCACTGAGTTCCGCATGTATACAGACCCTGTCCCCCAATGTACCATCCTTGCACTGGCTACCCTGTCATTCAAGTCTCTGCACCAGGCTGGAAGGGCACTTCATAGGAGGGGTGGGCAGGTCTGGAGAAGAGGAAGGGAAGTGCAGGAGGTCAGAAGATTTGCCCTCTTAGCCCTTTTCCCCCCGGGAGGGCCCAGCACCCTGGGGAAGGCTGGCCTCTCTGCCATTCCTCTCAGGACTTACCTGAAAGTCGGCAGCTGCTCACTTGCCCAGCCATAGCAGGCCCAGGGCGGGGGACATCTGAGGGGCCCTCAGCCTCCGACTCCGTGGTTCGGGAGCCCACGTCTGAGACATCACCCTCCTCCCCCTCAGTGCTGTGTCTGCGAGGTCTGCGCTGCCAGTTCTGGATGGCCTGGCGCCGTAGGCCTGAGCTTCGAGGGGCCTGGGACCGCTCTGAGCCACCATTGGTAGCCTGGGCCCGTGTGCCCAAGCCCCCAGAGCCACTGTCTTCAGGTGCCCCCTCCTCTGGCCGGGGCAGCTCCAGGCTGTCACTATCATAGCAGCCTGAGCTCTGGGAGGCAGCTTGCACACGGCTGGAGGCCCTGGGGCAGGGTGGACCAGATGGTGAGGGGCGAGGGGCATCAAGTTGCCAGAATTCTCCACCCTCCCCTTACCACAGATCAAGGGCAACCCATCCGCCCTGCTTCCCAAAAGTTCCCTCTGAGTATGGAAAGACAGATAGGTGACCCAAGGAGAATGGGCCCAGGAGGAGAGAAGCCCCAGATGGCCAGCAGATCTTTCCAGGGAGAGGGTGGGCTGTGTAGGGCAGGGCAGGCCCCAGGCTTACCCTGTGCTGGGAGAAGAGCCATGCCGTGATACCGCGTATGTGCTAGGCACGGCCGGGCCCACGTGGTGCTCTCGCTGTGGGCCCCCAGGGCAGGAGGGAAAGGAAGAGAGGCAGAGGAGGCAAGAGGATGAGGAGACAATAACAGGAGAAAGAGGGTACAAGATGGAGAGAAGAAACGAAGGAGAGGAGAGAAAAGAAGAAAAAAAGTTGGGAAGGATGGACGAATGGACAGACAGATAGCCCCAACAGGGAGGCTCACCAGCCCCCTGGCCACACCCAACCCACACCCCAATTCAGGCTATGGCTCCTGGGTTCACATTTTCAGGGATAGGCAGAGATGGGCCCCTGAGGGCTGGGGCTGCTGGATCACACCTTGAGACAGCCTCAGGGGATGGCACTCCTGCCCAGAGGGGCCCCCTTGTTCCAGACCCACACTTCAGGCCTAGGCCTGTTCTTGGGGGGAGAATCAAAGAAGAGAAGCACAGCATTCTGGGGGATGTGAGGCTGTGTGTGAGGGGAGGTTGTGGGGACCAGGTAAGCAGGTAAAAGAGGGGACAAAGGGGCACTCACCATTCTGCCTGGGCCCCGGGCCCCTGGCCCTGCACCACTGCCCCCACCTCCACGCCCCAGGCTGGCACTGGGTGTGCTGCCACAGCTGCTGCTGATGACCTGCAGCTGACGTTCAGCTCGGTCGGCCCGCTCCAGGAGTTCCTCGATGAACTGCTGCAGGCGCAGCTTGGCACTGGCCTCCCGAGCTGCTGTCTCCTTCAGGAACTGGTCAATCTGTACCACCTCCCTGGGCCCAGAGCAGGCTTTTACCCTAGAGCCTCTGCCTGGTTGACCTGCCACCCTCCCTTGTGTGGAGACACTGGGCACAGCTGCCCATGATGTCTGCTTATGGCCCCACACACAGCCCCCCACATCTAACCCATAACCAGACACATCATCCTCACACAAAAACACAGATACCCAGTTACCTATGGCCTCAATATACAGCCTCCCCACAAAGGAACAGCGCTAGGCACACACTTTGAGCCACACAGCCATGTGCACATACCCGCTCAGTACACATTCATGAATGTGCCCTCATCATGTATCCATTCCAGGCACATACTCACAGTCTGAGACATGCAAAGCATCATGGAGGCACAGTCTCACTGACACACTCAAACACACACACACACTTTCTGAAAGATTGAAAAATGTATTCAGTCACTTCAATACATAGGGAAATACACTAAGATGCAGAAGCTTATTAGTGTTTGCATCAACCTCCAGGAGTTACACAAACACATGGCACACCTTACAGATTACCTGAGTCTATATTCCCCAAAGCATCCATGGTTGTTCATGCATCTGTTCAACATTTATTGAGTACCTTATAAGTGCTAGGCACTGTTCTAGATGTTGGGGAAGCATCCCTGAACAAAAGTAGAAACCCCCTGCCTTCATGGAGCTTATATTACAATGGGGACAGATAAATAACATCTGTAGCCAAGCACTGTGGCACATGCTTATAATCCTGTGACTTGGAAAATGGGAGGAATATCAGCCTATGCATTTTAAAATAAAAAATAAATTTAAAAGGCTGGCTCTTGTAGTTTTGTTGGTAAAGATGGAATCCTGGGTTCCATCACCAGTACCAGGAAAAAAACCAAAAAACTAAACCTAACATTTGAATAGTTCATAATCCTTCATTTAAAGACCAGAGAAGTGAGGCAAAGTCAGCAAAGAAGAATAAGAAGGAACAGACCAAAAAAAAAAAAAAAGGAGGGGGGGATCCTGGGAGAGCCAAGTGAAGAAAGTGTTTCAAGGATCTGCTGAGGATAGGCCAAGAAAGAGGGTGACTTGGCCTTAGCAACATGGTCAAAGACAGTGGTGGAACTGGAAACCTGATCAGAGTGGGTTCAAGAAAAAATGTGAGAAAATAATTTGGAGACCAGGAATACTTTCATGAAATTTTTTTCTGTATGAGGCAGCAGCTTAAGGGAAAGTAAAGTTAAATGGGAGACATGACATCATGTTTGCATCCTTTTAGGAATGATAGATAGATAGATAGATAGATAGATAGATAGATAGATTGATTGATTGATTTTGGTGATAGGAAAGGGAGAGGGGAGAATTGGGCCACACCTTTGAGTAGGACAAAGGGAAGAGGATCCAGTGCCAAAATGCCAGGCTGGTCCTGGCTGAGTCAGAGCAGGATCAGAAAAAGACACTGTCTTTTTAGATAAGCACATGCATGATCATGCTGTCATGTATGTACTGGTGGTCCTGCACACACACGATCATGACACTCTGGGACCCACACACACCAATATTACAAGTTCATGACCATAGACCCCCTATTACCTAGCCATGACTACATACAGACATGCATGTTCAGGGTGATTGTGATGGCACACGGGCACACCCACCAGCAGGGCCCTGAGGGCCTACTCACTGCTGCTTGCGGCTCAGCTCCTGTTCCTTGTGCACCAGGTCCTGCTTGAGAGAGGCCAGCAGCTCCACGCTCACATCCACCTGCCGCGAGAGCTCAGATGCTCGCTCCTCCAGCTCCTCCTTCTCGCGCCCCAGTCGAGCGCTCTCCTGCCTAGCAGTCTCCAGCTCTGCAGCTTTGCGCTCCAGCTCTGCCTGCAGCCGGCCCACTTGGCCCGCAATCTTCTGCTCCACCTCCTCGCTCAGCCTCTCCAACCGCCGGTCCACCTCCAACTTCTCCAGAGCGCGTATCTTGAGGCGCGCCAGGCCCTCCTCGTAAGCCACATCGGCTGGCGAGGGGGAGGCGGGCGAGGCCGAAGCCGGGCCTGGGCCGGGCCCTGGCGGCGGCGTCGAGCACGCAGAGGATGCCACGGACTTGCGGGCGAACAGCTCTCCCAGCGGGATCTCTATCTCACGCAGCGCATAGCGTGCGGCAGCGGTGGGCACGAGACCCGGCTCACCCAGCTCCTCGCAGGGCAGGCTGGCGGGCACCAAGTCGCCCGGGAAATGGGCGAGGGGTGCGTGGTGGTGGTGGTGGTGCAGCAGGTGCGGCGTTGCAGGCGACGGCCCAGCGGCCTGCTCCTTGCCCTGAAAGGACGTGCTCTCAAAGACCTCGCGCCGGGCTCCGGGCACAGCCAGCAGGGCGGCGGGCTCGGGCGCCAGCGGGAAGCCCGAGGCTGCGGCTGCAGCAGCTGCTGCAGCCGCGGCGCCGTCGCAAATGCTGTTGGTCTTGGAGAGGATGTATAGAGTCTCATAGGTGTGGCTGTACTCTAGGTGGGCGCGCAGGGACGACAGGCTCCGGAAGCGCTTGTGCTCCCCGCAGCGGGGGCAGCGGTATGGCAGGTCCAGCGAGGCCATGGCCCCGCCGCCCCCGCGGCGTGCTGGCTCCACCGCGGCCGCCCAGCCGGTCAGCCGGGCGCGCTCATGGGGGGCCGCGGGCGAGCCCCCCTGCAGAATCAGTAAGGCTCAGGGTGCCCGCGACCAGGGTCGAGGAGGCTACGAGAGAGGGAATAAGTCTTAAGAGGATGATTCTCCTGTCCCAGCGACACCTCCCAGGCCCTGGGCCGGAATCCCCAATCAAGTGTAAAGTGACTTTCCCAGGAAACACGTGCCTGGAATGGAGGGGCCTTGGGAGACCTATGGCAGAACTCTCAGAGGGGAGTGTACTGCTGTGGCACCTGTGCAGGGCCTGTACATAGGTGGATGGGGGGGGGAAGGAAGGAGGGGGAGAGGGTGCAGGGAGGGGGAGAGGGTGCAGGGAGGGGGAGAGGGTGCAGGGAGGGGGAGAAGGAGAAAGAATTCTTTTTAAAAATACAGATTTTTTTTTTTTAAAAAAAGAATCAGTTTTATGTTTAATGGCTCTGTTCTGGAAACAACCCATGTGCTCATAAACAACAGAAGGGATAAACTGTGGTATATTCATAATGGAATGCTACCCAGTAATAAAAGGAACTACAGATATGCACAACAATATGGATGAATCCACTTAGTATTATTTTGCAGGAAAGAAGCCAGACCAGAGTGCAAACGACAAGATTCCACAGAGATGGGAGTTCAAGAATAGACAAAATTGATAATGACAGAAATCAGAACAGAGGTTATCCCTGGGGCTCTGCGGCTTTGCATTCCAGCTCTGTAAGGACTAGGAAGGGGTTAGGAGAGAATCTTRGGTGATACTGAAAATGTTCTATATCTTGATCTGAGCAGTGTATACAGGTGTAGATAATCATCAAGCTGTACACAAAATATCACTGCCTTATATGTACTTTAGTGTATGTTAAATCTAAAAATATCCTTAAAAGAAGATGCTTAAGCAATTGCGGTGGCACATGCCTGTAATGCCAGAGATTTGAGAGGCTGAGTGGGAGGACCAAAAGTTTGAGGCCAGCCTCTGCAAGTTAGCCTTACCCTGTCTCCCAAAAAAGTGGGGCTGGGCTGGGCTGGGGAAGTGGCTCAGTGGTAGAACATCCTTGGGTTCAGTCCCCAGCACAGGAAAAAAAAAATGCTTATTTCTATCTCATGCAAACCGCATCCATTACACAAGCTGTATTATTGGTACTATGTTGCAGTGACAAAGATGTCTCTCCACTTGGGTATCATTAATGATACCTGTGTGTGTCACTGTTCCCATCCCTGCTACTCCAGGCACATAGGTCCTTTTCTCAAACCTAGAAAAAGCTAGATAGGCCTCCAATAAGTGTACCTGCCCTGCCCTTCACTCTAAGGGTCCTATTTATCTGTTCTCCTCACACCCTTTCTGGCACAATCCCCTCCTCACCCTCAGCCCCTCCTGCCCCACCCCACCCCCACACACTTCTGGCTCCCCTGGATTGTGGATTTTCCGCTCCCTCACTGCTGGTTTTTCCTAAGTGYTTGCATTTGGGCTCGAACACCTTCTGCTGTCCCCATGATCCTCAGAGTCATGGATTACCCATTAATGGAATAATCTAGTTGTCCTCAAGGGTCTTCACCCACTTGGTCTCTTGGTGGATACTTTTGGTCCCTGCATCTTCACAGGCTGCCAGGATGATGCCCTGTTTGGAGTTTCCTCCTGGTTCTGTGACTTTCTGTTTTTGCTACCTCCCTACATTTCCTGTCTCTTCCTGAGGTGTCCCATTCAGCCTCTATCCTTCTCCCAGGCAATCTGGTTCACTCACAGATTCATTCACACCTTGAAGCTGCGGACTCACAGATCTGCCTCTTCATCCTGACCAGTTCCTGAGTTCTGTTTGCCTTTTCCCATTTCCACATGGCTGTATGAGTAGATGTCTGTTCCCTTTGACACCCAGCACCCAGTCCTCCTGTTGGCACCAGCACTCTTCTTTAACCCTGGGGAGCCAGCCTTCCTTTGCCACATTCTCAGTCCATCCATATGGCCTGAAGGATGTGACATGAGCCCAGCCAATCAGAGTCCTAGGATGAGCAGGGCACCCAATTTGAGCCAGTGAACCTCAAAATGTTCTGGAACTACTGGGAAGAGGCAGTAATTCCAGTAAAAACCCAATCCTTTTTGGGTTTGGATTTTTAAGTTGATGGAGAGGGCCAGAGCTACTAGGCCATCTTTGTTTCCTTTGGGAAGGAACCACCTAGGAATGAAGCCAATCCAGAAAAGCAGAACTAAGACGGGGAGAGAAATTCTTCAGAGACACTGCAAGATCCTGGCCTGCTCAATTACATGAACCAATCAACTCCTTTTTTTTTTTTTTTTTTTGCTTAAGTTAGTTACAGTTGGGTCTATGTTCTTGATCAGGGAAAAATCCTGATCAAGAAATTGGAAACAGGGTTTGGGGTAGAGCACTTGCATAGCACATGTGAGGCATTGGGTTCGATCCCCAGCACCACATAAAACTAAATAAACAAAATAAAGGTATTTTTTATATTTAAAATATTTTGGGAAAAAAAAAGAAGAAATTGGATCAGTCAGGTGTGATGGCACACACCTATAATTCTGGTGACTCAGGAGGCTGGGGCAGGAGGATCCCAAGTTCAAATCCCACCCTCAGCAACTTAGCRAGGCCCTAAGCAACTTAGCAAGACCCTGTCTCAAAATTAAAATAATAATAATAATAATAAAGGGCTGGGAATGTGGCTTAGTGGTTAAGCACCCTGAGTTCAATGCTTGGTACTAAAAGAAAAGAAATTAGAATCAGAGTTAGAATTTTTTTTTTTTCAAATAATAAACCCCAAGAAGGAATTAGCTTAACTAAGGGGAGAAGCCTAAGTTAGGACTGCTTCTTGCACCCTACTTAGAAGTTGTTGAGCCTTGTCATGCAGTAGCAAAGCAGCTGATTAAATGATCTCCTACTGCCCCTGAAACTTTAAGGGAGTTGCAGAAAAATGTCAAAATATTGGCAGTGAGGCCTTTGTGGTAGCCTGAGTCAGGTCCAATAAGAAAGAGACACTCTGGCTGAAAGGAGCCCATCTAAAAGCAGAGGAAGAAAATGGCTTGCCCAAAGAGGCCCTTTCTACCTGGGGCCAGTAATCCAATGTGGCTGAGAGTAAGATAATTAAGAGCCAGTTCTCTGCTTCCAACTAAAGTCAGCTCAAGCAAGGAGAGAGAGGCTGGAAACTCAGAGGGAGATCAGCCTGGGGCCTGAAAAGCTCTAGACTCCTCAGGTCCTGCTGTGCCCTCCCAGCACCACAGAAACTTCCATTATGAGCAGGTTTTTGTTGGAAAGCAGCTTGAGTAGAAAGGGAAAAGATTTCTGCCTCCCACCAGGGGTTTATACTGCCCTGAGGGAGAGGCCCAGCTAGAGGCCCCCAAACCCAAGGCTATTGGGATGGCCAAGCACCTAGGCCTGTTGCTAAGAGACAACCCTTCTCCTCCCTCATCACTAACACCAGGGACTCCATTCAAGAATTATAACTTTCAATGAAGGTCTCTAGCTTTGACTAATAGCTCTGGGGTTGATGGAAGGCAAACTGACTGAAAAGCCTTCTAATGATTAAGGGAATTACACTGCCAGAAAAATCTAGCAAACCTAGAAAACAAAGGCCAGGATTACTTAGTCCTAAGGTCTCCCCTGCTACCTTTCCCTCCCTCACCAACCCTGTACCCCTCAGTCCCCCTCTCCCATGTGACTACAGAGCACCAAGTTTGAAGACAGCAGAATCAAAGCAACAGGCTGGTGGGACAGGGAACCTCTTCCTTACCATCTAAGTTAACCTTGTGGGCCACGAAGCAGGTGTTTTTCCTTCCCTTCAGGTTTGCCTCCATCGTAGTAGTGTGACCACAAACTGAAAGACTCTGAGAGCCTCCCTCAGTACCTCATCAGACAAGGCATCACCAGATCTTGAATTGGGGCTGGACGTAGTAATGGAAAGAGAAGATGAAACCACTCCTTCTAGAGATGGGAGACCAGGTTGAAAGTTTTGTRAGGGATAGATGCATTATGATAAACAAGGAAATTCTTAAAAAATTATTTAGGAGAGGGGTAAGGGTCTTAATTAGCCAAGAAGTAGAATTTAATATTTTTTAAACATTTATTGCTTTTGCTGCTCGGCTTTACCCTTCTTTGTGGACTGACACCCCATTTTCCTTTAGAGAATCATTTCCTCCACTTTGAATGAGTTTGGGTAGAGCTGACCCCAACCCCTGGCCCAAAAGAGCACATATGACCTCAGTCTGCTTCATTAGAGCACCAGAGATCAGGTCAGTAATGCTCATGTTTCTCAATCTGGATTAATTCAGGCACTCTAGGACTGTGCTCAGCTGGCAGGACATGAACCTGGAACTGCTTGTGGGCATTTCTGTGATATCACTTGAACTTTTCACCTAGGACTTGTCAATTACATGGGGCAGCAAAGGCTTTTGTAATTTGCATCATTTAAGTCAATTGAGTAATGAGGTTCCAGAGGCAAACAATGATCCATAGTGTCAAAAACACAACCCAGGCTTTCCCTCACTCCTCCCTCCCCTGCATCAGTTTCCTTCAACAGTGCCTCTGTCCTTCCAGCCACACCACTGGCCATCCTGATTTCTCCCTCCCTGCTAAMCATCAAGACCTGCTGGTTTTTCCTTCTGGATGCATTTTAATCCAATTGTTCTTTTCTTGTCACATGCTTTGTGCTCTGATGGGTCACATCTCCTTGCACCTGGACTGCTGGCCCAGCCTGCCTCACAGTTCTTTTCTATCCTATATAAGGCACCATACCCACTTTCTGCAGATGGCTCCTGCTTAGACACCTTCAATGGCTCCCCATGGTCTACCAAATGGAGCCACACTCTTTAGCTCCATGGTTTGGCCTCATTGTACTCTTGCCAATTTCAAAGTGAAAAAATGGTGTTTCACTTGCATTTCTTTCAAAGAAATGGTTGGACATTTTCCCACACATTTGTCAATCATTGTAGCTAMAAA